CTTCATAATATATAGTTATTTCAGTGACAAAATGGGCTTAAATCCACTTTAAAGAAAGGGCTCCTAACGCCCTGAAATTTAAAAATTCTTTAATCCCCTGTTTCTAGTTATGGAATTGCCTTTTTTTAAATTTAGAAAAATCTTTGAGCATAAAATCAAAAGAACTATAGTTAAAGAATTTATCAGACATTTAACAGACAAAACAAATAAAGACCCTTGTTAGACTTCACAAAGAAACAATTTGACACGGGTTTTGTACTAGTGGTTCCAGTATTGTATGTCCAGTACTGTATGTGACAGTATTGTATAAATTTGTTATAAGACTGTTAATAAACAATATAAACAGTATATTATCTATAAGATCATCATCTTATCAAGTTTATTCAACTTTCCTATATTAGCTGTTTATAGAAATTTTATGTACTATATTTCAAGAAATATTCAGGTAATTTTTTAACAAGCCTCTACTACAATGTATAACAAATGGCTGTTACATCAATGCCTGTTTATCTGTTATTTTACTTTACACATCTTACATTTTCTTTTGAACCTCCACTTATATACTTATACTCTATAAACAGTTTCTAAGATTATCCGGGGGAAACGAAACTAATAAGCCTTAAAATTAACTTTACCAGATGTTTGTATAATAATAATATATAAAATATGTCAACTAATATTCCTTTAGTTAACAAAATTGTGCTCACAATTTTCTTTGAAGTTTTTATTTTTTAGAAGAAAACAAGGAAATTAAACATAACAAAAGAAAAACCAAAAACAAAAAAGACAATAAACAAATAAAAAAAAAAATGTGGGTCATGGTCCTACTCATACCCCTTTTTAGTATTACCAGAGCAACCAACAACCATAACAAAGTCATTTACCAACAAACCCCAACAAACCATACATAATATTTACAGAGAACCCACAACAAACTAAGTCATCCGAGCAAACCCAAAAACCATCATAAGTCATTTACCAGAGCAAACCCCAAACAAACCATAACATAAGTCATATATATATATAATAAACAAAATATGTGCTCAACATAAAATTCATCAATGTTTCCTGTAGTTTCTCCATTTTTTTTACATAGACAAACAAGGAAAATTTAAACTAGCGAACAGATAATAGGAAAAAAACCCAGAAAACTGCATGATTAAACAGAATCATAATTGAAACAAATTGATGATAAAAAAAAATTGTGGGTCATGGTCCTACTCATCAACCCCCTTTTTAGGTCATTTACCAGAGCAAACCCCAAACAAACCATAACATAATCTTATTTTATTTAAAAGTATTCTTTGTTATTGATTGTCAATCATTATGCGAAGTTTAAACCAATTCTACAAACAACATACATTTTGCTATGATGACCTACAGTAATTTTCTATAAAAAAAACAAAAACAGAAGGGGTGGGTGTGGGGGATTAGTGAGTCATAATAAAATTTTGCATGAACAGCTAAAGCTTTTGAATAGACTTTTGTATATTGGATGGATGGATGGCTACACTGTATGTAGTTTCTGATATAAAAAACAAGACATGCTATTGGATAATTAAGACTAGATGGTCATCATGTTCAGCTAACCAGGTCTATTTAAGTATCATGTCTGTACAGTTTCATCAAAATCTAACAAACAACTGAAGAGATGTCATTTAAATCTCATTTCTATTTTAGCTTTGCAGCCATTTTATTCATATGTTCAACTGACCAGAACCATTTGTGTATTTTTTGTAATGGAGTACCTAATAACCATTGGTATACAGCTTTATCAAAATCTACCATAAGGTTGAGTAGGAGATGTTGCTTAAAGATTTTTCTATTTTCAACTCTGGCAGCCATCTTTTTTATTGCAGTGGGACCATTTGAGCAATTTTAGTAAAAGACCACTCTACAATAAGTTCTGCTGAGTTCCATCAAATCTATACTAAAGTTGAAGAGATGTCATTTAAAGATTATGTCTATTTTTTGTTATATTTTCTGGCAGTTAAAATTTTAATTTACAAAAATAATTAATTTTAGGAAAGGGCCAGTTTTAACATAGGAGCTATAATTTGAAAACTATGCCAAATATCTAAAATCTAGCCTTGATGGTTTCAGAGAAGATGAATTTTAAAGATTTCATACAAAAAACCCTTCCAGGACAGGGCCATTATTTTGACTAAAGTGTAATTACTTCTTACAAACTTGGTAGAGACCAAAAAGATAATGTTTCAAGCCAAAAATCAAATTTTTTAAAAATATTTTATATACACATAGACCTAAGGTTGAGGCCTGCTAGACAATATTTCGTGCCAAATATCTAAGTTCTAGCCTCAAAGATTTTTCATTGATTGCCATGGCAACCAGAGTGTTGTAATAATGACAGCCCTGGTAGTTTTATTTTCAAATAACGTAATCAAATGATGTCACACTAGTGCGTGGAAAACATGGAACAACCAATGGTTTCTTTATAGGAAATATAAATAACAAAATGCTGAATAACCAATTTGGACATATACCCTGCTAGTTTGAGTTTTTCAATAGCATTCCGATGCCTTTGTAGATGTTAAGGCACAAAAAAGGTGCATAAACCTATTACATGACGTACTTGAACTTGTGTTACAAAACCTAAGTTATAATTAGCAAGAATTAAATTAACTCCCTTAATAACTATGAACAAATCTATACAGTAACCTTTTGACTTGTATATAATAAATTAATTTACTAAAATGTTTCTTTACATTACAATAACCTTTCACTAGCATAATGTTGCCATAGTTACCTTCAGTAATTTACTAACCTACCCTTTATAACATCTAAATATATCATTACATACATTACCCCTACAAACAATCTTGTTCTAACTTACTTTTATTGCTTTTTTTGTTGTTTTTTTTTGTCTAAAGATCACAGTTCTATACAAAGATTTTATGACAATATAACAGCTTCAAAGTTGTTTACTATATTTTAACATCCGTTGTAACACTCTTCGTGATTTTGTCACTATACACAAAGAAGAAAAAAAAACAGTGTTAAACTGCCAATTAAGACTGGTTAGGGACTACATGTATATGCGGCTGTTGTTTTTTCTCCCTTTATAATATAGTTAACAAATTCTATTAAGGCAATGATAATATTGCATTTTTATTAATAATCTCCGTTCTTACAATGTTTTCTTTTCATATAATGCTAAAATAATATCTAACATACACTGCCGCCACAAGTTTCATCCATATCAGTTCATATAATTTATATGACAAATAGGGGCCTATTAGTATGCAGTGTAATGACATCATCATAAGTATACAACTCATTCATAAAGGCGACAGAATGACATCATTTTAAACTAACAAGAATGATTCACCGCACACTGAAGTAAACACAATACAATCCAGTCTGGCACATAAGTTTTTATTGTTGAAAACTTGATAAAATAACTTTTTTATCATTTCTTTTGTTTAATAATTTCTATATCTTAGCAACAGGAGGGTGCGAAATTTTACAGTGTTATACGAAACTGGCACCTGAAGTAATCTCCGCTTGAAAAAATAACATCAGTGACTTTCTTAATTGTGTCTTGTTAGAAATGAAATAATATCAGTGTGAGCGGTCAATTACTACACATCAAAACTCCTTACCGTGTTAAATAGTCAACTAACAACACAAAGACAGATATTATTTCTTAAATATATTGCATGTCAGCATGGCATATACCCCCACAAAATTTTTGTAACAACCATATGGCTGATATATGGCTGATATGCTGGTAATAATTTTTCATATATTATAGCATAAAATCGGCTATTTTCCCCTCTTTTGCCCATGTTATAACGGGACCAAAACCATGTGTTAACATAGTCACGCGCCCTTGTTATAGCCCGGTTTCACCTATGCGCAATACATACAGGGCCCAGTAAACAAACAAACAAAAAATGACAATTTGGCCTGTTTGCCGAAGAGTCATGCGCTCTTGTTATATTGAAATTTATTGATTCGAGGGCCTCAGTCGCATATTCAAGTAACTATGCCGGAAAAACGGCGTATAGACATCGGTGCTAATCTTGGTTGTCGCCCTTTCTAAGAAACGGACAGTTGTCAATGTAAACAAATACAGTAGAATCTACCTGTCATTCAGTTTAACACTCCGATTAACTTACAAAACTAGATAACACAAAATTAATATGAGAAAATGTTTTTTATTTATGTTAATAAATGTTGATAAATGCTCTTTATATTTCTTTGAGAGAATAATGCTTAGTGCCTGATTTTTTTATAAACTTGTTTGCTTAAAAAAAACCGATTCTGATGTCACTGATCTTTTTTCTACCGTCAATCTGAAATCATTCTAAGAATTTCTGAGGGTCATGTTTTGTCTTGGGTAGAGGGTAGAGTAATGTAACGTTTTTTTTCTTGAGATAATAAATCTCCAAAGGCCAAGCTTTGTTAAATCAATTAAAATTCAAAATTTCGTTCGGTTCCGAGAATTTTCCAAGTTGTTGGCCCCGGAAAAATGAAACGCATACGTAAAACATAGAATTGGATAAATACCGTCCAAGCACAAGTCTTTAATGTAATTGTGTTTTGTATAAACTATACATCACGAATCTGTTTGAAAATTTTATGCTATAATAGCGTCAACGCACGTTTATTTCGTGTTATAAAGTCTGCAGAGTCCCTCGGAACTGTTGGAGCCCTCGCCCTACCGGGCTCGGGCACCAACCGTTCCTCGGGACTCTGCAGACGTTATAACACGAAAAAACGTGCGTTAACCCTATATTAAAGTAAGTCACTTATCCCAAAATATCCAAATTATCTACATTTGAATAAGCTTTTTTTCAGCCTACCAGTAAAAAGTCTGTATAGAAATGACAGGTTATTTTGTGTGAGTGTATGCAGTATATTAAGGCCACAATCCCTTTCAGCCAGAATATAGCCACATATTTAATGTCAGAAGGTATGTTTTATATATGTTCTAATTTAGACAACTAATACACTATTATCAAAGTTTAGCTTACCTGACCCCTTTCTTCAGAGCTAAATCTGTCTTTGAGAGTTTTGAAAGAGTGTGTAATACCTGCAAAATAATATTATAAGAATTATAACAGCAGTCATAGATGTGTTTATGTGCATAAAAATGTCACAATGCAATACTGCCATTGTGATATATATATATACAAAATTAAACAAAAATATTATACATATGTAATGTTTATCTACTGGGTTATTACTAATTAGATAGTCTGCAAAACTATGCAATTCTTATAACTTTTTGTCAAATAACAACAAACAGCCATCATATCCAGTAATGACATAAACATTAAAGTAATGATAAGTTTATATAAATAGCTATTTAGTCAGACTGACCAGAATTGTGAGGCCTGAATAAAAATAAACACAAACCTTTCGGAAATTTTTCACATCAAACAAATCAGGAGGCTCAAATAAGTCTCTACTTTCTATCTTGAATTCCTTCTCACATGTCACGAGAAATGTACGAATATTCTTCAAACACAGAAACTACAGAAGAGAAAGATAGAATATTACAAAAATATTGTCATTCATATCACAACAAAACACAAACAAAAGTAATGTACAAATGTACTTTGGTAAACACAAATGTTCCTATAAGTCAAGTCACAAACCTTAAAGAGAAACTGTTTGAGTAACAAATTCCATCATAAACCAATTATTCCAAAACTCATGTGACTTTAAATAGTAACATGAGGTCATGATTTATAAGTTAAATAAGTTAATTAATGCTTTCATTAAATCTGAGTTGTTCACTTGAGCCTTACTTAACCGTAAATAAAATAAGGGTAACATTGTCACAAAATACCCAAGTCACTAAAGCTTTAGGTGGAGATGTGGGTGATATGAAGTGTGGCAAGCAAGTTGGTCCCTTTACATATTTTTATCTGAAATTTTACCTCTTTGTGTGACCTTGACCTTGATAACAGGGACCTGAATTTGACCTTGATAACAGGGACCTGAATTTGATATGCGACACTCAGCCTCACATTTATGAAACTTGTACCAAGTTATATTAAAACCCCTCATTTGGGGTCAACGTATGTAGAAGTTTTGCTTTGGACAACACAGAGATCTTAGTGTGACCTTGAAATTTGACATAGAGACTTGGTTCATGGAAGGGCACTAAGTCTCATGGCATGAACAATTCTATAAAGTAACTAGGGCTGTCATTGAATATTGCGATATCGATATATCATTGATATTCATCATCCGATACATTATCGATACACACTTTCACATATTGATACAAGCTAAAAAATTTTTTATTTCTGTTAGTGAATATACCTCTCTATTTTGGCTTATAAGAGAAGTCACTTTTTTCTAGTTTTCTTGGCTAACTTGAACTTAAAACTCAGTTTTCAAATGTCAGTGACAAGAATAACAGAAAAAAACAAACTTTCTGTTAGTTTGAAGTATTTGTATTTGTGTAATACAAGCATGCATAACACTATGATCCCAATTTATATATATATATAAAATTATAAATGTTTTTCATGGTATCTACTGTCAAAGTCGATATTTGTCTCTCGATATATATACAAAATTTTCCATCAATGACAGCCCTAAAAGTAACATAAAAATTCCTCCATGCATGTAGGATATATGCACTGGACAATATCTGGATATTTAATCGTTTCTAGTGACCTAAAAATATTAACCTAAATTAAACAGGTCATACCTGTAATCATGATAGTTACCACTTTTGTTACAATCCATCAATAAATGATAACTAAATGGTCCCTCTACACACTTCATATTTTTATCTGAAATTTGACTGCTATGTGTGATCTTGACATTGGTCGCAGGGACCTGAATTTTGTGTGTCACACCCCACCTCACAATGGTGATCATTTGTGCCAAGTCAAAATTTCTGGAAAGTATTATGAAAATTCTTCCATGCATGTAGGATATATACGCTCCAGATAAAATAAGAAAATTTTATCATCTTTAGTGACATTGACCTTGAATAATTATATTGACCTAAATTAATAGTAAATTAAACGTATCACAGCCATAGCCATAGTTATGATAATGACCATTTGTTTTACAATAGGAATCCCTCAATAAATGATGACTAAATGGTCCCTATATTTATCTGAACTTTGACCTCTATGTGCAGCATTTGTGGTGAACATTTCTCTCAAGTTTCATTAAAATCCCTCCATGGGTGTAAGAGATTATATTTTTTTTCAAACACATCTAAAAATAATGTTTAAAATCCTTTATTATTTATACAATTAAATTTATTATACAGACAATAAATAAACAAAAATAATATAGTTTATAGAGAGGACACTTCAGCGTTAATAATGATTTAGATACAGTTTAAGGATATATTTTTTGTCTGTGTATGCAATTTCCCATATTTTGCAAAAGAAGCATGCAAATAATGCTCAAAAACAGTGCCACAGTAATGACATTAACATGCGCTGTCATCCTCTCAAGTTCTTCCCCTTGTCTAAAATATATAATTTTGGGGTGATTATTTTTTATACATATATCCACATTTAAAAAGATTTTAAGAAAAAAGATATAAAAAAATGGCTTCATAAAAATAATTCCATCTGAGTACTGTCTGTGCCGTACCCCTGTGGCTTTGAGGCTTTGCCATATTCATATTAACATGTGTCCCTTGTGAATAATAAAAAGGAGTTGTAGAATTGGAATATCTTTGTTAATTATACTCATAATACTGAATTCATGTAAATCGGTCAAGCTGTTTAATTGATCAATTTATAAGAATCAGGGTCAGCTCGCCCTAAAACGTACTCGGCCCTAGAGTCAGCTTGGCCCTATTCCAACTCGGCAAGGGTCAACTCGGCCCATAATTATATATTACTGGTAATGATTACTTTTTATTGATCAATATTTAACATATATTGTCTTGATATCTCTTCTTAACAAAGATAATTTCAAACAATACGTACAGGTACACTGCTAGTTCTGGCTTCCATAACTTTATATGTCGCTTTTATTTTGATGTTGCGACAGTAAAGTTATGGGTCAACCCTATTTGCAAAGGCTACCAGAATTTGACAGGTTCGTGCGCCGTACATTAAAACCTATTAAAATCACCCTTATTAATCAAATTTGGGTCAAATAAAAATACCATTTGATAAACAAGTCAATTTTGAACTAATTCACGTTTTGTTTTTAAATGAAACTTCAATGACATTGTGTACCCTACTATTTTAAGAGAAATATGTAGAGAATGTTTACCAATATGGAGTCTGCTTTCAAATGAGATCTCGCGGGACTTCATGTTTTGGAAATTCTAGCATCTATTTTTAGTAACGGACCATACACTATTTTTAGTAAGTGTATGATTTTATATAAAAACAAACAAATAATTCATGAATCATCACTCAAAACAATATAAATCCAACCATGTTTTTGGTACAATGTCTTTTATTGAATAAATACACTGTTATTCATAATTGCAAAGCCATGTTTTCAATTAAAAATAGCATTTAGGTCACGTGTCACCAAATGTCATGCAAAGGTATCCGAACCTAAATTCTCGCTGGTCACGTGATAATTAGGGCAGCAATGGCGGAGAATTTTATGAAATGTGAACCCGCTGATAAACTTTGAGGCAATATTTCATTAATCTAACATTCTGCGTTCAAAAATATAGACTGAAGGGTCCCAAATATATCTAACTACCTGTATTAAAATAGTTTTTGTCCAGATCACGGAAATTTATTGAATTACAGCATGACATAAAAATGTCACGGGTCTGGTTGACTTTCGATACGGGGTTGGCTTCAGCGAACAGGTCTAACAATACTATCAAACCTGTTCGCTGAAGTTTTTTTAGCTAGTACACTGCCAACTTTTTCAATTTCTGTTTGTAAGTGATCATATTTCTGAAAAACTTTATAGTAATTTTCTCCTTAAAATTTTTATTAACTAAACAATCTATATCCTAATATATGTTTTTAATAGAGGGCCGAGTTGGTATAGGGCCGAGTTGACCCTTTACCAATTTATAACAGGAAGTAAATAAAATAAGAAAATGGAACACTGGCGCTAAAATCCAACATATAAAATTTTATGACAACGAAAACAAACGATTTATAACTTCTAAAATCTCAGATTAAACTTTTCCAGTCAATCTGAAATAAGTTTACATGTTAAATTTCTGAAATTAACTTTTTTTACCTGCGACAGTTGAGGCCGAGGACTGAAATCTTTTGCGTCAACACAATATGGTTTTATGGCATTCAAAAGATGACAAAGCAAGACCCCGTCTCTTAAAGCCTGTGCTAGATCAAAAGCTTGTGCCTCTGGGTGTGTAGCCCGATGATCATCGGGCAAAATTTTACACTGAACTAGCCAATTCACACATAATCTCCATTCGTCGGCCGCCATATTTCCGATCTTTCCCTCAAGTCTGCAGAGCTATCACATACGAAACTATTTCTTTGAAATCCCGATTGTATATTGAGAAACTTTGAATAAATTAAATACTGTCCACTTTTACCTTCTTTTTGAACAATAAGTAAATATTAAGATATCAATCTTTAAAAAAAAATTTTTTATAATTCGAAACTGTGGCTGCAGAAAAATTACATCGGATGATTGGAAAATATGACCAACAAGAACCGTTTCCATGTAAACTTTGAACCAATAAATAGGAAGTAAACTGTACTTGCTGATGTGTTGGTTAGCCTAAGTACATTTAAAACTGTAAGTATTTTATTGAGGGTTTTCGATTACTTATTGTCACGAAGCAACGAAGTGTTATTCAGCAGTGTTCAGTATGGAATGCCGGTAGGGACATGCCACTTTGCTTATTTGCCAACTACTATATTGCTTATTTGCTGATTTGCCAATTTGCTTATTTGCTAATTGCTTATTTGCTTATATATATAAATTTTTATGCTATTGTCAATTTGTCAGGCAACACGTCCGACTCGCGAAGTTCTTGTTTGATATAAAATAACAAGTCTTTGTAGACTTTATTTCAAGCTCATGAACCTATATCATGTTATTATGTTTATAAAGTTTTGTTAATTATAACTTGTGACAATTATGATCAATCCATCATTACCTAGAATATAGGTAGAAAGACAGATGGATACATTTTAATCAATTTCGAAAAAAATAAATTCAGTTTCAGAAAGTAGTTGTTTTTTTAATTATCTTGAGTTTCAGTTTTAGCTCCACTATTCAGAGAATAGGGATGCTGTTCTACCCACCAATGCATTGGTTTTCTTGGTAACTTGTTTTTCTGTCATATCTCTGTTACTTTTGCTGATTCATGCATCTTACTGCAACTTTGCATAAACTTTGCGTTACAAGCATGCATACAAAGTACATGTACATGAAGAAGCTGTGCCCGTTATATACTGAATGTCAAGGTCACCAATGTATTGTACTGAGAAGCCTTTGTTTTTCTGTCATATCTCTGTTACTTTTGCTTATATCTAACTGTAACTTCACATAAGCATTAAATAGGCAGCATGAATACACAATATTCAAAAAGGCTTTGTCCATTATACCCTAGGTCATGATCATGGTCATGGTCACCTGATAGCATGTAAAATGTTCAACATGAAGAAATGGAAAAGTGTGACCAAATTTCAAAAACATTGAACCAAAGCAAAATGTTGATGCACACACAGACATAAGTGATCTCAAAATCTTACAGAGCTAAAAACGCAGCCTATTGCTTAAGTGCAAAGACAAAGACCCGTGTTAAGCATTTACCAAATGTATCATTTGTGATACTATGTGTTCGTACCACTAAAATGAGGCCCTCTGCAACAAATCTGCTGAGAATAACGACATTTTATATGCCATAAAATAAGAAATAGTTTTGTTTTCAAGTTCTTTTATTTTCAATCTTTACCCAATAATTTTCACTTATGACTAATCAAGTGTTTATGATGCCATCAATCTCTGACTTAAGCTGCACAAACAGATCTATAGCTGCAACACATTATAAGGCATGCTCAAGCACAGATGCTGGCGGGTCAGATCCTGCCCCTAACGTGATACGCCTCTGTAAACACTATATCAAAATTATTTTAATATTTATCAAATACGAATTGGACATTTGTTACAACGATAAAACCATTAAGTACTTTATTGAGACTTAATTGGTGGTATATGGTATTTTTTCATACCGGTATATGTAAAAATTGCTTGAAAACCAGTTTAACGATGTCCAATTCGTGTTTAAATATTAAAATATTTTAAAATGAGTGTTTACAGGGGCACGTATCACGTTGGGGTACGGGATCAGACCCTCAAGCGTCTGTGTTCTCAGGACATGTCAGCCATCAGTTGTAGACATATATCTGCGTAGGCATCACTGCAACTAAATTCATTGATCAACAGTAATCTTGGAAAAAACTGAATTTACAAGAATACTGTTGGTAAAAGTTAACAGATTTGACTCAACTGGTTGTCTGTAGTCAGATTTTCCATATATTTCCGGCACAGTGTAAAGTATTTCTATTGCAAAAAAGCAAATTAGCAATTTGCAAATAAGCAAATACGTAATCCAGCGGTTAACAAATAAGCAAATTAGCAATTCAGCAATTGGCAAATAAGCAAATTTGTCGTTAAGACTATCAGCCATTGGCAAATAAGCAAATCGGCAATTAGCAAATAAGCAATTCAGCAATTGGCAAATAAGCAAAGTGGCATGTCCCTACCGGCATTCCATAGTTCAGATAAATTATTTGTAATGCCTTAAACTCTTAACTTCAGACGTTCAGTCTAAGCTATCTGCCATATTGACGTTTCACCTACTGGGTATTCCGGTCTCGGTCTTTTCGTCTCCTAGACGTTTCGGCCCTGGTCTTTTTTATACTATAGTGAATAATATATGTTAGTCCCATCAGTTGGTACCTGTAGGCTGTTTTATAGATCTAGTTTATGTCGGTCAAGCCAAAGGGGTACGGCTCATTGAATGTTTCCAAAATATGTGTTTGATGGTAAAAAACATTAATCCTAAGTTAGAAATGAATTTAAGCCTTTCCCATCACACTATATACTAATATACTCAACTAAAATAGATGCTATAGACTTACAGGTGATGTGCACAATCTTCCAAGGCCAAGTGGGTCAAGGGCAACTACCAGAAGGGACGACCATGCAATTGTTTTAACTCACTTACGTGACAGGTTCAGACGGGCGACCTTGACCGCGCCCGCATTTAACATAACTGCAAAAAACATTCGCCATTGGTTGCGCGCACAACAACACCCAATTAGAGCGCAACGCCGATATACAGCCAGGCGACATTCTCACTAGGTATTAGGTGGACATGTGCGAACCGTCCTTGGGGGCGACGTGACTGAAATACTGTCCTGTTTTCAGGCTAGTCTCATTATAATCTCAGTCGTGGCGACGGCCGTGTAAGAATTTACTGTCGAAAGGGCGAAAGGTGTGTACCTGTCTGAGTTAGACAGCATGATTGTTTAGGTGGTGGAAGAGTCATGGTATGGGGCTGGATAATGGGTGGACAAAAGACCCGGCTTATTGTTATACACGGCAACTTAAACACCCAGAGATACATCAACGAAGACTTGAATGCCAAGGCTATTCCATTTATGCAAAGAAAGGTCCCGTTGTGTTTCAACGCCCACCCTCACACGACGAGGATAACAATCTTCCAAATATTCTTGTTCAATGTTTTGTCAATTCTATGCATCGATGCGTTGACGAACTACTTAGAGCCAGAGGTGGCCACAACCTGTATTGAATTAAATGAAAAAATTGCATGCATTTTAAAACTGTTAATGAAATTACTAAAACCTATCTGCACATAGTCAAAACTTTATAGCCAGAAATTGATAAATTGAATTTGACCCTTTCCTTAGAACTAGCGTAATTTAACAAACTTAAACATAATTTATAAATAACAAAATGCATATCAATGTTGTGCATGCATGTCTTTTTTCATGCCCAACATTTGTTTTTACATTTCCGTCATTGATTTCCTGAAAATAATAATAAAATATACACTGTCAGGTTTCTATTTCTGTTGAGTATATATAGACAAGGTAACAACTCCCATCTGAAGGTGTCTTATGTCCAATCAGGGTTTTCGCCTCACAGTTTTTTTAAACGATACAGCATGAATAAAAAGGAATTCGAATAATTTATCTATCGAACCAAGGTAAAACTTTTCTTATCTTTCTTATACTTGTCGGCGTCCCCTTACACTTGTCCGGAGCATAAGTCAGTCATTATAAGTGGGATTGACTTCAAACTTGGTATGCATGGTTTTTATAATGACCTGAAGTGCAGTGCACAAGAACCACTACTCTGCACTTCTTAATTTTTTAGTTATTGCCCTTTGTTAATTTTCATACTTTATTTTTGTCCAGGCCATTTCTCCTAATGTATAAAAGCTATGGACTTGAAACTTCATAGGATGATAGATCTCATTAGAAAGAAGTGCAGTGCACAAGAACCTGTACTCTGCATTTCTAATTTTTGATTTATTGCCCTTTGTTAATTTTTGTCATACTTTATTTTTGTCCAGGCCATTTCTCCTATTAAAAGTATAAAAGCTATGGACTTGAAACTTCATAGGATGATAGATCTCATTAGAAAGAAGTGCAGTGCACAAGAACCTGTACTCTGCATTTCTAATTTTTGATTTATTGCCCTTTGTTAATTTTTGTCATACTTTATTTTTGTCCAGGCCATTTCTCCTAAAGTATAAAAGCTATGGACTTGAAACTTCATAGGATGATAGATCTCATTAAGAAGAAGTGCAGTGCATAAGAACCAGTACTCTGCATTTCTTATTTTTTTAGTTATTGCCCTTTGTTAATTTTCATACTTTATTTTTGTCCAGGCCATTTCTCCTAAAGTATAAAAGCTATGGTCTTTAAACTTCATAGGATGATAGATCTCATTAAGAAAAAGTGCAGTGTACAAGAACCGGTACTCTGCACTTCTTATTTTTGAGTTATTACCCTTTATTAATTTTCATACTTCATTCTTTTGTCCAGGCCATTTCTCATAAATTATAAAACATAAAGACTTGAAACTTCATAGGATGATAGATCTTATCAATAAGAAGTTCCGTGCACAAAAACTGTTGCTCTGGACTTCTTATTTTTGAGTTATTGCCCTTTGTTAATTTTCATCTGGCCATTTCTCATAAAATATATTGTTCACAAGGCGACACATTCGACTCGTGGAGTTCTAGTTCAACTTAGAATTTACGTTAAAGTTTGCATAGCATCTGGCTTTGAAACAAGTTGAAATTTTATACACTTCTTTGCGAGCATTATAGGACTCTCTACAAGGCTTATAACTGTAACATGGATTTAAAGAATACCCTTTTGTTAACTTAGAAAATTTTATATTATCAAGGTTCTGTTACTATCAAGCACTAAGAATGGTCAAGCATGCTTTCCTACAGAAGCTCTTGTTTAATTAATGCTAAATACATGTATTATTTAAATGTTAAATGTACACGTATTGTCAAGTATATAAATGAAGTAAATAACGCGACTGTGTGAAAAT